CCCCTGCCCTGTGTCTCATGTTTTTAAACACAAAAATGGGGGTGATTCACACAGAACTCGTTTTAAATTCTACTTTGTTACATTTGAATAGTTTAACAACATAAATCTATGCTAGCCAAACACTGATGACCGTTGTGCTGCGTCTTGCTGCTTTTTCGGCGTCTTGATTTTGGGTGTCACATTTTTTTTTTTTGTAATGTTTTCAAAGTTCTGAGTAAATAGGCTCCAATGTGGCCTTTTTTCACAATTTACACTGCACTTTAATAGGTTACCAATGTAAATCCACGCTAGCTGAACGATTAAATGCTGTTAAAAATGTTTGTTTTCCACTCCTCAATGCAGTGTCTTATGTTGTAAATGCAAGAACAAACGGCCCCTATTAACAAGTACTGATGATCGTATTCTGTTGCCTTGTAAACATGGCCATTGTGTTCAAATGAGTTTCTGTCATGCTGAAACAGACATGCGTTTTAATATTCTCTTTTGGCTCTTTCCTATTTGCATTTGTAAATGCAGATAATGCATCTCATACTGGTGTATACGGAACAGTTTTTGTATGGTCTGTGTGTCACACTTCTGTTGCAATACCTACTTGACTGTATCAGGGGAATCCATGGGCATTGTTACAAACACACAGCCTGCTACACAACGAGCATGACAACCTGCTTTAATGGTGTGTCTAACGGTCTTCTTATGACACCATTAGGTAGTTCTAGTGTGTGGTCACAGCCTGATATTCCATGGCTGCTTAGCAGCTGTCCAACTCTTGCAGCAAGCATGCCTCTGCCCCAGCGGCCCATCCTAAAGCACAGTGCTTAGTTATGCCGCTAATGGGCCTGTGCAATGCCTCACACTACTACAAACCAAACGCACGCAGCAGGCAGCGAGGAAAGGGGGGCTAGCAAAGCCTGCAAGTGCTTTGTTAGCAGAATTGGATTTAGTTGAAATCCATCTTCATTTTTGCCTTTCCTTTTCATTTCTCTCAGGACGGCCACAGCATGAGGTGCCTGTTTAAGCATCTAGGTTGTGGATGACAGTGAATTTCTGAGAAGGAAGAAGATATGCACTATTTAATCTCATGTCCCAGGCTGTAAACGTTGTTTGGGAGGTTGTTAAAGTGAGGCACATTGACATATTGTTTTGCACGGTAGAGGTTTTGGCCTTGAGTTAGCGGTTTTATTGATAAGGACCGTGTTTTCTCTGGAACGTTTATCTCAGGCGGATGTGTTTTTGTAATTCTCCTCACTTCGCGTTTATTGTATTTCTGTAGTGTAAAGGTAAATGGTGAAATGTGCTCTCAGGGTAACAGTTGAAGCAGTTCTTTCTCTGCTCTGGGTTTTATCTACCCCCTCTGCTCATTCTCTTACTACCGTTGTTTTACAAAAGCTATTTTAACAATGGTCGTTATCGGTTGACCTTTAGCCCACCTGCTGTTTTGTACGCCAGCTCTGTCAAAGAGACAATACAACTCTGAAAGGAAGTTACTTCACAGCAAGAGTACTTACCCTCCATAATGTAGACATAAGTTATGGGAATTTTGGGCATATATATATATATATATATATATATTCACACACACACACACACACTTTCAATTTATGATACGTTTTTTGCAATATATAATAATATTTTTCTTTATTGATCATAACACACATTCTTTTTTTTTACTCTCTTTAAAGGACACCCCCTGAAGTCAGGGCTGATTATGATTTTAAAGAGCTGTTTTAAATGTTCTCTTTTAATGGGCCAGTTTTAAAGATATGGACACCTGCAGAAATGCAGGGAACAAGCACATTGTAATGTTTCACTTACTAAGTAAACAGCCCTGACGATGTAATCAATGTGTCAATAATATGCTAGCTAACACTGTAGTTGACTTATTGATGCATATAAATACCTTAATTAGTGCAAATTAACATTCAAATAGAAACACAAATGTGCGGCAATAACATAATTGCATTTTCAGAATTAGCCTGCGTAATTATTCCATTTAATTTGCTATCATTAATTAGGACCAAATGTAGCTCTGGCTTATGTTAGGCGAGCAGGGTCTGATTCTTGCCATTGGTTGGTGCAGTGCAGTCATAGAACATGTATTTCAGTGTTAAGTAACTTTCAAAGAGTAGTAGTATTTTACAGTGTTTAATTTTCTGTTAGAATTTGGCACACCATTCTGTATGTGACTGTTCATAATTCTAAAAAACATTATTTGGCAAGTTACTGAATTTAATTTGCACTCACATTTCTTTGATAACTATTCAGTGTGAACATAATGTATTGTTTTTCTCATATTTTTTAATAATTATATATGGAATAATAAATTATATTATATTGTATATTATATTATTATATATTTAAATTTTAAAATGTATCTTTTTGCACACTCCCAGTGTTGATGAACAGCATGTCCTGACTCCTGTATTGTTTGAATGAACAACGTTTGCATTTGTAAAATCTCTTTTTTAATGTTTCATGTAGTTCAGCATGCTGTTGGATTAAGAATGTAACCATTATGATCTGATCTGTCAGCCTTGAACTTCTTCAAGCAGGCAGATTCATTAAGACTCACACCAGGCACACAGATTGGTGTACACATGCTGCTCTTGCTGACCTGATGCAGTGCAGTGCCTGGGGGAGCCCAGCTGTTTGTGCCTGGCTGTCCGGCTGTCAGTGGGTGAGGTGGGAAGGGCCTGGCCATGACTCCCCCCCCCGAATGTGTTTACCAGATGCACTGTTGCCTCAGGTGAGCACTGCAGCTGGATCCGTAAAGCTCCAGCAGTCGGGCTGGATCCAAGCCCGTCATGGCAAGATAGACTGGACAGACCGAGGCTTGCATTCAGACATCTGCTATGTGTGCAGGCTTTGTGCCCAGGAGAACTGACTCCTGGCCAGTGTTTTGCTGTTTGTGCTCTCCACGTGTGAGCTTTATAAGGTCTCCAAAGGTGGACAGAAAAAGACTAGCCATAGGCAAAATGTTAGACACTAAAGCCAGATCTGTTTTTCAGTGCAAGCCTCAGGATTTAACTTTACCTTTTAACTGGCTGTTTTTTTATGTAAGAGCTAAAATGCTAAAACTTACGAGACTCATTAATTACTTAATTTTCATGAATATCTGAAATGTTTTATTCTGATTGGTCAATTGCAGCATTCTGCCATAACATATTTTGGTATAATGACCTTTAAACTGCATATTTGACTGTTGACAAATCTCTTTGCAGTAAAATAATTTCAACTTCAATGTAATTTCATGTCCATTTATTTGGTAATTAGTTTTCAAATAAGCAGGTTAGCCGGTCATTATCAAATAAACTTTCAGGGTGATACAAGACATCCTCATTTAGTATATAAAGCTTTATTTCTATAGCATCTTTTTAAACAGTGTTTATAAAGTGCATTACAGAAATGAATGAATGAGTCATAGAATAATAAATATAAAAGAACAAGAACATAAAGCACGTAAAACAGATTACAAAATAAAATAGTTGAAAACCCATTCAGTTGAATTTGTTTTTTATTAAAATAAGTAGTAGTAGTAATAGCATTAAGAATTATTATATAGTTATTAATGTTAATATCATCGTGACTAGCTGACTATATCCTGACTGTAAATTACATAACCTAGGACACTTGCTAAAACATTTTGCAATTGTTTTATTGTATTGCACTATATTCCATTGGATGATGAATACATAAGCATGAAAACATGTGTTTCCCTCAACATTTTGTTAAAACAAGCACTATACAGATCCATTTATCAATGCAAGTACCCTCCCAGTCGGTCAGGCTGCACTGAACTTCACACAAATAGCTCCTTGAAACTTGCTCAGCCTTGGAATGTTTGTATTGCCCCCTCAGCAATTAGCCATTAATAAATAATAACTCTGTCTTTAATCATGCTCCCAGAGCACAAAACATATTACTCTCTTTTAGTACTGGGCAAGGCCTCTTACTCCACACACGAGGAAGAGTAATGATCCTTAATTTCATTGGAAATATATTTGAACTCTCTTCCCAGGGTTCTTCATCATTAGTGTGGGTGCTTGTCAGGTAAAGTTACATGTTGAGTTGTGTTTTTATTCATTCTTTTTTCTTTTTTTATATTTAATGTGAGTTCTGAACGTGACCAGACTGCTATCGTGCAATTTCTAAGTTTTTAAGTTAAACTTCTCTTAATTTGCAATTTGAACCACTCTTCAAGTCAGATATCGATTACCTTTCAGGTTCGCAACATGAAATCCTTAAGTGAGCCACGTGGCCTTGCTCCCACCCAGCACTGTGTTTAAACTGGAGCTGCATCACCCTCGCTCTCGCACATGCTGTGAGGCAATTCTGTCCAAAGGGTTGGGCAGATTGGTAGCGAGACCTTATTTTCTAACTATCGATCCCAGGGGTAGCCCTGGAGATGCAAAAACCACCGCAAGACAGATCTGCTGTCAGGTCTTACAGTAGAAATCAGGCAATCAATGTCACTGCGCTCCGCCAGGCCCTGTATGGACCTAATTCCACTCATCTGCACTAAATGGAGAGAACCCAGTGGTTCATCAATCATCAATTCAAGGAGCAGTGTCTGGTTAATAGTCTGCTCTTTACTCAAAGAATAGTCACCAGTATTATCAGGGGGGCCAGCGGATATCCCCTCCCCAACCGCACAACGTGGCGAGTTTGATTGTTGTATTCTTTTTCTCATTCGCCATGCTCCGTTCCATTTCCCAGACAGCTCCTGTCAGCTAACACGTTGCAAATTGAAGCTTGCGGGCTCGATCGATTATCTTTTTCCCCCCTCATCCTAATCCATTTGATTTGTCTGTTGAGTATTAGACTACATGATTGTGTGGGGGTGAGGGGTCAATATCTCCCGAATCAAGAGTAATATCCACTTAATTCCTTTTTCCTGTCAAGCTGCACTGGATGAAATGCTCACTTGTTTTGGATTATGTGTCTTCTGTAGCACTTTAAGGTTACGAAGACTCAATAACATCCTCTCCATATTGCTTTCTTAGGTTTCAAGTGCCCACGGTTCTATCCCGGGGAAGTCGGAGCTGCTCAAATCAGGGAGCCCCAAGTCGACACTAAAGCATATATGGACAGAAAGCAGTAAGGACTTGTCCATTAGTCGACTTCTATCACAGACTCTCCATGGGAAGGAAAATGCAACAGCCCTGGACCTGCACTATGACACTCCGGAGCCTTACTCAGAGCAGGACCTCTGGGACTGGCTGAGGAATACCACGGACCTGCAGGACTCCAGGCCTCGAGCCAAACGGCGGCCAATGGTCAAGACGGGCAAGTTCAAGAAAATGTTCGGCTGGGGAGATTTCCACTCCAACATCAAAACGGTCAAGCTCAACCTTCTGATCACTGGTAAGATCGTCGATCACGGCAACGGCACCTTCAGCGTCTTCTTCCGCCATAACTCCACGGGCCAGGGCAATGTGTCCGTCAGCCTGGTCCCGCCGAGCAAAATCGTTGAGTTTGATTTGACGGCCCAGCAGTCGGTCATTGACTCCAAGGATTCCAAGTCCTTCAACTGCCGCATCGAGTATGAGAAAGTTGAGAAGGGCTCCAAGAACACACTCTGCAACTTCGACCCGTCTAAGACATGTTACCAAGAGCAGACACAAAGCCACGTATCCTGGCTCTGCTCAAAGCCCTTCAAAGTCATTTGCATTTACATCTCCTTCTACAGCACCGACTACAAGCTTGTGCAGAAAGTCTGCCCAGATTATAACTACCACAGTGATACTCCTTACTTCCCTTCCGGCTGAAGGTAGCCGCTGACGTCCCACATGAAGGACAACGAGGCAAAGGATGGAGCTCTCTCCCCATCCACAACAAATACATGTTCCCCCGTACTGCCCATACCATACGCTCATGGCCCAGATCTATTAAAACAACTTGAAAAGAGAAGTATTTGGCTATTTGCACAAGGACCACACGAAAACTTTAATTTGAGGGCATAACGTAGTGCTTTTGTTTGCTCACTTTGTATCCTTTAAGTTACGGCACACATTATTGTTAATTTATTGTTTATATATTTTAATGTTCTTAGAATATTATTTTACCACTGGGGTGTTGCTTGTATGACCATGTACACTCACAATTTTGTCCTGTAATGTTCTGTTTTAATTTAGAAATGTACAAGTATGAACGTTTATTAGAACTGCCAAGAGATCATGAGGGTGTAGATACAATAGGACTTTTTCATTTCGATGGTAGTTTGCCTCAGAAGAGATGTCGTAGGAGAATTAATCGCAGTCAGAATCTCAATGTTCCCTCCACCTACAAACTTTTGAACAGCCCTGGAGCCCCCATGCGTTCTTGAGTTATTCCTCCTAGCCCAAAGGCCCAAAGGTGAGGACAATGGCTTTGTTCTGCTGGTTATGAGCAGGCCTTAACTACAGGCATGTTTTCTACCTATTACAAGGAAGCTGTACTGTAATAATTATGGATTGTTCGGCCCTAGCTGTGTCCTGTAGTTCAATAAGATCCAGGAATGATTGGAGGGCTTGCTCACTGTCACTTATAATACACTGTAATGTAATGAATTCTATATTATAGAGCCTAATTTGTATGAATGGTTTGTATTGTACATAGTTTATCCTGATGGAGCTGCTTCTGTATATGCGTTCACTCATTGTCTGTTAACCCAAAACCCCACACTCTCTCTCTCCCAGCTCCCAATCCCATATTTGCTTGTTCTCGGTTCTTTGGGGAAAGAAACGGATGTTGCTGATGTAGATGTGAACTCCATGAAATCCATGCTCTTGTACAGGGCTGTAAAACTGTCAAAAATATATATTAGAAGTAATTATCATCTGTATGATCATGTTTACTTTCAGGGGGAACAAGGGGATGGAGATGTACAAATGAATAAAATACTGAAAGTTTTATCAGGTGAAGTCTTTGTTATTGTATGTTGCTCAGAATGTGATATGAAAATCATATTTTTCTAAACGTTTGTCTTAACAGTTCCCCATTACTGAATTTACAGATAATGTCATGGAAAAATATGTTTTTTTATGCTGTAAAACCATGATCATTTTAGCTTTACATTGTTTTATGCATGTTTTATGTATTGCAGTGTCAGAGAAAGGACAGAGAATGTTATTGAAATCTAAATTGCAATTGTGAAATGTTTAAGCCCATTTAAAACTATTTAGAAATTTTATCTCACATGAAGTACTGTATACCGTTGTCACACTTTCATAATTTTTACTATCCCTTAATGCAGCTGTTCTCAATTCCAGTCCTTGCGTAACCCCGCTCTGCATGTTTTGCATGTCTCTCTTTGTTAACACAGATTCAGATCATCATCTGGTTAGAAGTGAGCTCCGTGCATGAACTGTGTTCCGATTGACATGGTCCCTACACAGAGTTCATTGCTCCCTACTCCCTGAGCAGGGGAAATCCGTTGAAGTTTTCTTCACTTCTGAATATTCATTTACAGATTTGCGCTGTGCTGCTGCATACAAAACTTACTAGAGAAGCGTGAAGTGGGACATCATATACCTCTGTAAATAAATACAATTTAAATGCACGTCTCACACACTTAAATGCCCTTTGTATGGAACATATACGCTCCCTTCAAACTGGAATCATGGCGGAATATCCGGTAATGTCCACTTCGCAGGGCATTTACAGTCAAATATAACAAACATCTGAAGCAATAAGAGAAACATACAAAATGTGCAGAGCGGGGGTACGCGAGGACTGAACTTGAGAACCGCTGCTTTAACAAGAGTGAGATCAGCAGGCCGATAGTGTCTGTTTCAGAAGCACGGACTGCCACAGAACACTCCAATGCAGCGGTTAGGATCAGCAGTCCGCTTTAAAGTGATTAGGGCCTCCGGCAGGAACAATCCACTGAGTTTAGCTGGCTCGCAACTTATCAGTAATTAAAGAGGGCGCTAGGTTTGTATCTTCATCAGCTGTCCACAGGGGTTTTGCAGACAGACTCATTTTGGGGCTGTCTGAAGTTTGCTTTAAAGGGGTCATATGATGTTGCTAAAAATAACATTATTTTGTGTGTTTGGTGTAATGCAATGTGTTTATGCGGTTTAAGGTTAATTTCCACATAATGTACATAATTGTTTCTCCTCTATGCCCCGCCTTTCTGAAACGCGTCAATTTTTACAAAGTTCATTGTTCTGAAAAGCGAGGTGTGCTCTGATTGGCCAGCTATCCAGTGTGTTGTGATTGGCTGAATACCTCAAGCGTGTGACGGAAATGTTACGCCCCTTACCATACTGTGTTTACATGTGTCCCGGCGCGACGAGACAAAACCAATAAAACCCATTACAAACAAGGCATTTGTTGAATCCAGTGGGGACATAAATAATTACTGATTATAATGACTTATACTGTGTTTTTATGCTTTGCGCTGCATCGCGCCGCGTAAACATAAAACCATGTCTGCATTTGTGATCAGAAAAATGACAAACAACAAGCGCTACTCTACACTGCTCAAACTCGCGTTTGAATCATCAGTGGCAAATCCTTTAAATATAAAAAACGGTACTTACAGGCTGTGAGTCAGAAGCACCAGACTGTCCTTGCAAAGTTGGAACTACCCCACTTTAGAGAAACATTATGTCCTCTTTTGGAAGGCCAAACAAAATAGTTTCGCTTTCACAATGAAACACACAGCGGCTTGAGTGAGCGGCGCCCGGCGGATTCGACGAAGGAGGCTTGCGGCAACCACATGTGACAACCCCGGGCTGTACTCCACTTTGTCCACGGTGAAAGCCGATCTGGCGATTGACAGAGCGAAGTTGTAGTATTTCATCAGTAACCAGCACGAATCAGCTCCAGGCATGACGAAGCGGATATCATCCTCTTTTGGAAGGCCAAACAAAGTAGTTTCGCTTTCACAACGAAACACACAGCATCTCTACAACATGGCGGCGGCAACAATACTACAGCGAGAAAAAAAGTTACGCCTTCTTTCTTTGTGTGAACATTTGGGCAGCGTTATGCAAATCTTCCCACACAGTGACATAGACATGTGGGAGCGTGTTTAAATGAGGCATTTTAAGGAGGGCGTGGACAAGTCTCTTTTTGAAAGAATATCTCTTTGGATTTGAGACTTTAGTCTTTGCAACTTTACAGATCTTCTTTATGCACCAAGAGCTTGTAACACTCCAAAGAGAAAGGACAAATTTAAATTGCATCATATGACCCCTTTAAATGTTTATCTTTCTAATCAAACTAAAAGATGAGGTAATGCACTGTTAGGGCCCTGTTTGGCACACATCACACACTCAAATCTATCTATCTATCTATCTATCTATCTATCTATCTATCTATCTATCTATCTATCTATCTATCTGTATGATCTGTCTATATGATCTGTCTCTGCCTGTCTAATTTAACAAAGAAAATTAAACATTATAGCAATAGACCAGTACATCAAATCAATATATTTTTGGTATTTTTATACTGCTTTATGATTGTTAGGCCTTTGAAGCTGCTATGCTGTGACTGAAAACCACAGTTCTTATATATCTAATATAAATATTCACTTAAAAACATTCACTTAAAAAAAACTGTGAAATAAAAAAATTGTTATGCAAAGATATAATATAATATAATATAATATAATATATATAAAAAAATAATTATATGTTTTGCTTGTTGTTACTGGTTCCCCAAAACCTATTAAATGATAATGTTCTTAATAAACTTGTTTGGTCTATTGGCAGCTCCCCTCCTGTGCAGGAATGAGAGACAGAACAGCATTTCTCCCTCTGGTGGGTCAAAACAATTCGATCTCTGTAACATAACCTTCGGCAGAATCATAATTAAGTGACAGGATAAACAAACGCAGTATTTATTCAATTATGATGCCTTCACCCACCCCCTTCTTCGTCTGATTACATCGCACAGAGGGGCATGACTATCACGTGTATTTAATTCAGATTTTGCTTGATACGGATTATGCGCTAAACACCTACATGATAAATAGCTTTAATACCTCCAGATCAGATTTAGTAGCTTTCTTTCCCTGCTTAGCACTTCACAGCTGTCCCAGGAGGGACAAAGCATGCCTTAAAGTCAGGGAAATTCCGAATAATGGGTTTTGGTCTCTTGCCCAACATTAAGCCATCCCAGCCGATCCCATCCCACTCTGAGCTCTGCTTTTGCCTCTGCAGAATTTCTGTTTTAATCAGAAGCCGAATGGAAAAGGACCCTGTGTGCCTCTGGGATATTTTTCCATTAACCATTCTGACACATGACTGACTGTGGGGGATTATTGGTTTTTGAAGAACTATTAACAGCTGTACATTTGCATTTTAATACAGTTCTCCTCCACTACTAATGCAATTTTGGTTCGCAGCTTTGTTGCCGCCTTGTTCCTGGAGCAATTCAAGGTAAAAGCAAAAAAGCCCTCCGGCTTTAATCATTTTAATTGTCATGAACAATTTGTTTTCATTAATCACTCCCGAATCTCTGCTACTGTGAGAGTGAACGCGCCATTACTGCTCCTCCTTAAAACCGTTACTCATCATTTCCAGAAAGTTTGCCACAGCGGTGGACATGTTCCCCCTCAGAATATTAAATGACTAGAAGGGGGCGTTTCAGGACAGCTCTGGAATTTCAAAATAGCTGTTGCACTTTTTGTTTATTAAATGTGAGGAAAGAACATAAAATATGGGCTATTAGAATAGAAGAACGTCTAGCATTAAAAAATGAATAGTCTTCTTTCTTCTTCATTTTTTTTTTAGCTTTTAAAGATAAAACATTTTTGAGCACAATTTATGAGTCTCTACACTCCTAATGACAAATCAAAACACATTTTATGGCTGTAAACACATTCAAGGTTCTCTACCAAAATGTGTTCCCGGCTTTCATTGCAGCACTGCAGGTCACCCATGTGAACTTTCTGTGCATTTACAGCTTATTCAGATGTAACATTTCCTTTGATTTTTACACAAGAAGGTGAGGGAGTGGCGCAAGCTGGGTCTGTGGAGAGATGGTAACCTTTGCTAAAGCACCTCCATTACCATTTCTGCATGCTGTCTGGATTCATCTCCCTCTCCAGCAGCCAGAAGGTTAGCACGCTACATTAGGCATTATGCATGAAGGTGTCATTTGAGACACAATACAACATATTTCTACATTTTCAAACACTACTGATATTGCCAGCTTTGTTTCAGCCACTTTCTGCTTATTTTGAGTTTGTACTACCAGACAATATCACAGGGATATGCATTACAGTTTTGAATGTTTAACAGATTGTACCAGAATTAATTAGGATCTTAAACTATTTTTTGTGTTGCTTTGTTTCTACATGTTTGTATATCTCACCTGCACACACTGGTAAGTTTGAAGTGGAATATTAACATCATATCATTTGCAATCAATTTTATGTTGGCCTTTTTAAATTAAAGAATTCACTGTGTTATTAGAAATGCTCTTCCTCAGACTAAAATTTGTGTTTATTACAATTTGGCTGTAGAAATGACTTTATGCTGCTTTATGACGTAACAGAGATTAATGTTTGTCCCGTCTAAACATCCAGGCCTATATTTACACATCATCTCATACTAGGCCACGTAACAGTTCTAAGAAAGAAAGATTAAAAGACTCTTAAAGGAGTCACAAACTGAGAAATCAAAATTCCTTTGATCTTTTGAGATATAAGAAGCCATTGTACTATAAAAAACATCCTGTAAGTTTCAGAACTCAAAACTTTCTTGTTAGTCTAAAAACAGCTTATATTGAAGCCAATCTGCAAATACGTCTCAGGTTACTTATATAAACATGGTTCCCTGAGTAGGGAACGAGACACTGCGTCCTCTAGGGGTCGCTATGGGGAATGCCTCGTCATGACCCGTGTCTGAAGC